TAATATGTGTGTGATAATTTATCAGCAGATAATTCACAAATTAAAATGCAATCATCCTCCAACCCAAACTGGATTTTCTTTTGCTTTGGGCAAGGCTAACAATAGTGTAAACCTATCCACACAAGCCTTAAGAGCTCAAAATAATAACCTCAAGTAGATCCCACACATGGCTATCCTGAGGCAAAATAAATACTTCTGAACTCTAACCTAACTTTTTCTAGGTCAGTCCATTTCTCATTCATATGATCACTATTAACAATAAATTAAATATATTTCCCTTTCCATTCTATTTTTACGCTGCTCAAGTATTAATATAGAGTCTTCCTTTGTGGCTTCTTTTAACTAAATGTACTAACTACAGTTCCAAACCTCTCTGAATAAGACGTGTTCCCCAATCCCTTATCACTTATTTTGTGTTTCTTTAGGGGTACCTACGATTTATCAAAGTTGTATCTTTTATATGCGCACACACATAAAGAGCTCAGAACAGTATACACATAAGCACCACTTTATGGTGAGGCAGATTAATGTTTAAGAATTTTGCACTACCAAGTGCACCTATCTGTCTTGCACAGAAGCAAGAAAAAAATCTCTCTGAAAATACATTACCTTTCAAGAGAGATGCCAAATACATCAATTAAATCAGTATAATTTCAGATATCAGATTATTATTACAGTTAGAAAAATTAAGAATTTCAGAAAATATAATGTGTCCTACCCTCACACCCCAAAAAATTCCACTCAGTTCCTTATTACACACTATCTGGCCTGAAATAGTACTGGAAAAGGCAAGGTATCAGACTGCAGTATTTGATAACTGTATCAGCATCAGTAACCAACGGTATGTTCTATTCATTCAAAAGACTAAAGTTAAACAAAATTCAAATCTCATGAACATTTGCTATCGCTAGGGTAGTAGACTAAAGTTTTTCAGTTATTTACATTACACAAGATACCTCATGGATTATGTTTAATTTACCACAGTACTTGGTCTATATTTCTGCTGAAAATATACTATGGGTTTCTTTTGTATAGGTACTTGGTGTGAAAGCTTTTCCATTACCAAGGACAATCTATATTTTCCTAGACCACGGTCTCCAACCAGCAAGTCAGAATCTGTAGCCAGGTTCTTTGAATATTAACCTGATTGTGAATAATATATGATGCAGTATATTTACATTTTATTTAACTTTGCCTTAACTTAAAAAAAAAAAAAAAAAAAAAAAAAAAAAAAAACTACTATGGGTGAAATCCTGACCCCATTGAAGTAAATAGCCGTTTTGCCACTGCCTTCTATAGAGCCAGGATTTCAGCTTATGTGTACAGATAGTTTTGGTACTTTGCTATTCCTGCTTATTTTATTAGTAATGATGAAGATATAATAAAGAAAATAAACACATTATCCATTAGAAGGCTTTTCGCTGGATTCATAATTAGAATTAATTAGAATTAACATTAATTGCTGACTTTGCTATTGTTGATTGATAACATAAGAAAATAAGAACTGCCATACTGGGTCATACCAATGGTCCATCTAGTCCAGAATCCTGACTTCAATAGTGGCCATTACCAGAGCTTCAGGGGGAGTGTACAGAACAGGGCAATTTTGGAGAGATCCAGTCCTGTTTTCCCCTCCCGGATTCTGGCAGTCAGAGGTTTAGGGTTGCCCTGAGCATGGGGTTACATCCCTGACCATCTTGGTTAATAGCCATTGATGGACCTATCCTCCATGAACTCATCCAGTTCTCTACTGAACCCAGTTATACTTTTGGCTATCACAATATTCCATGGCAATGTGTTCCACAAGTTAATTGTACATTGTGTGAAAAAGTCCTTCCTCTTGTTTTATTAGTTGCCTATTAATTTCATTGGGAGACCCATGGCTTTTATGTTGTGGGAAAGAGTAAATAACATCTCTCTATTCACTTTTTCCACACTATTCATAATTTTATAGACCTCCATCAGATCCCCCCCATCATCTCATTTCTAAGAAGAACAGCCCTAATCCTCTAGTCTCTCCTCATATGGAAGCTGTTCCACACCCTTGATCATCTTTGTTGCCCTTCTCTGAACTTTTTCCAGCTCCACTATATTCTTTCTGAGATGGCGCCACCAGAACTATATGCAGTATTCAAGGTGTGGGGTGCACCATGGATTTATATAGTGGCAGTATGATATTTTCTGTCTTATTTTCTATCCTTTTCCCCAATAGTTCCTAATATTCTGTTAGCCCTTTTGACCACTGCTGTGCACTGACGTTTTCAGAGAACTAGACACAATGACTCCAAGATTTCTTTCTTGAGTGGTAACAGCTAATTAATACATATGTATACATTTATATATAATTTATTATTATACAAGTGAAGTTGGGATTATTTGTTCCAATGTGCATTACATCATACTAATCAATGTTGAATTTCATCTATTTTGTTTCCCAGTCACCCAGTTTTGTGAGATCCCTTTGTAACTCTTCGCAGTCAGCTTTGGACTTAACTATCTTGAATATGTTCATTCCCTTTTCCAGATCATTAATGAATATGCTGACAATGCAGGTCCCAATACAGATCCTTGAGGGACCGTGCTGATTACCTCTCCGTTGTGAAAACTGATCATTTATTCCTACCCTTTGTTTCCTATAGTTTAACCCATTAGGATCCATGAGAGGATCTTCCCTGTTATCCCATGACTTGTTTCCTTAAGAGCCTTTTGTGACAGACCTTGCAAAGGCTTTCTGAAAAATCCAAGTACACTATATTGTACACAATATTGTATATTGTACTAAAGGATCACCTTTATCCACATGACTGTTGACCCCCTCAACAAATTCTAATAGACTGGCTAATAATTTCCAGAATCGCCCCTGGAACCCTCTTTAAAAATTGGTATTACATTAGCTAACTTCCAGTTATTGGGTAGACAGGCTTGTTTCAGCAATAGGTTACATACTACAATTAGTAGTAGTTAGTAGTTCTGCAATTTAGTATTTGAGTTCCTTCAGAACTTTTGGGTGAATACCATCTGGTCCTGGTGACTTATTACTGTTTAATTTATCAATTTGTTCCAAAACCTCATCTTGTTGACACATCAATGTGGGACAGTACTTCAGATTTGTCTCCCAAAAAGAATAGCTCTGATGTGGATAGTTCCCCCACATTCTCTGCAATGACACCGAGGCAAAGAATTCATTTAGCTTCTTTGCAATGGCCTTGTCTTTTTTGAGTGCTCCTTTAGCACCTTTGTCATCTAGTGGCACCACTGACTGCTTGTTAGACTTCGTGCTTCTGATGTACTTTAAAAAACTCTTACCAATAATTTTTGCATCTTTAGCAAGCTGCTCCTCAAATTCTTTCTTGGCCTATGTTGTTAATACTTTTACACTTAACTTGCCAGAGTTTGTACTCCTTTCTATTATCCTCACTAGGTTTTGACTTCCAAATTTAGAAGGAACCCCTTTTGCCTCTAATGGGCACCATTACTCTGCTGTTTAGCCATGGTGGCATCCTTTTGGTCCTCTTATTGTCTTTTTTGATTTGGGGTATACACTTTGTCTTAGTCTCTATTACGGTGTTTTTAAATACTCCCCATGCTGTTTACGGGAATTTAACCTTTATGATAGCTCCTTTTAATTTCTGTCTAACGAGTCCTCATTTTTGTGTAGTTTCCCTTTTAAAGTTAAATGTTACCATGGTGGGCTTTTTTGGTATTTTCACTGCTACAAGAATGCTAAATTTAATTACATTATGGGTCTTACTACCAAGAGGTTCAGCTATAGTTACCTCTTGGACCTGGGCTCCACTTAGGACTAAATCAAATATTGCCTCTCCCCTTGTGGGTTCTATGTCTAGCTGCTCCAAAAAGCAGTCATTTATAGTGTCTAGAAATTTTCTCTCTGCATCATGCCAAGATGACTGGGTAGTCAATATGAGGATAGTTGAAATCACCCATTATTACTGCACTTTCTGCTTTTGTATCCTCTCTAACCTCTCTTAGCATTTCAAAATCGTCACCACTGTGGGCCTCAAGGACCTCTCTCCTACTTTTCATTGTCATTGGTACCTACATGTACCACAAGCACTGGCTCCACCTCAGCACCACCTGTATGTTTACCTAGATGTCTTGTGAAATCAGCTACCTTCACACCCAGCAGACAATTCACCATGCAGTTCTCCCACTCATCACAAACCCAACTATCTATATTTCTAATAATTGAAATCCTCGCTACTATTGCCTGTCTATTCCCAGTAACTGGAGTCTCTGCCCCCAGAGGAATATCCTCAGTGTGAAAGGATATCATGACATGCGCTTAAAGGTGGGTCCCAACAATGGGATTATTTCCCTCCGCTCAAGTTTGTTGCTCTCCTGCCCCAAGACTTTTGTCCTCATTAACAGAACAGGGACGGTCAGACAGGAGGAGGGACCGCTCTACTACATCCCTAAAAGTCTCCTCTACGCACCTCTATGTCTCCTTTCGCTTCTCCAGTTCAGCCACTCTGGCCTCAAGAGCCCGTACTCTGTTTCTGAGGGCCATGAGTTGCTTGCACCACACATGCACATATGCCACCTGCCTACGAGGCAGGTAATCATGCATGCTGCACTCAGTGCAATAAACTGGGTAGCCTACACCCTGCTACTGGTCTTCTTGCCTGCATTTTTACCCTTGAGGCATTTTTATTTAGCCTAAATTTATGGTATGTTTGTAAAGTGTACTGGTTTTTCTTTATTCGGTCAGTTGCTTTTCTAGGGGAATTGGTGACTAATTGTTAAATCCTTCGGACTCTTCCCCCTGCAGCCAAACTCTCCTTATCATGGTAGCTCATTCAGTTGTTATGCATTCTCTCTCTCTCTCTCTACCCACCAACCTGCCCAGGATAGCATTAGCCTAGACAATTTTGTCTTATTCAGCATCATCAGTTAACACAGATATTACATTAATTTCATTTTTCTAATTTAATGAAGTTAAGATTTAAGATTGTATCTCATCAGAGTTCTTTTACACTCACCGTTTATTTGGATCTTTTATCAGGAGACCCGAAAGTAATGACTTTGCATCTGACGAGAGAGTTCGAGGGAATTTTATGTCCTCCATTAGTATTAGTTCAAACAGTTTCTCATGATCCTGGTTGTAGAATGGTAATCTCCCACACATCATTTCATACATGACAACTCCCAGGCCCCACCAGTCCACTGCACGACCATAGTCATTGTCTTCTAATACCTAAAATTAAAAATTAAAAAACCCAAGCATAAATCATATGGAGCTTCAATCAGATCTTTTCAATCAGTTTAGATTTAAGATTTTCATGTATTAATATATCTTTCAACCTCGTCATGCTGTAATATGGGGCACAGATTCCCAAAACATTGGACACAGAGACACTGACCCTACAAAGTTTATTGCTTATTACAAAATTGAGCCCAACTAGTGCTGGTTGAAATTCTATTCATGCTAAATGGTGCTGTGACAGCACAATTGTTATTTATATAAATGTCTGAGACAAACAGAACAGAGAAGGTTGTCATCAGTGTGACCAGTGCATTTTTCCTTCCCTTGTTTTCCCCATTCCTTCCCTATTACCCTATCATAGGGCCCTCCATTTCAGGAGAGGAAGGGAAGCGTGATCTACTGGCCATCAACCACCGCCGCTTTAGCACCTCTCTGACTCCTGTCTTAGGGGTTTTCTCTCTCCTCCTCCCCAACTACCTCCTCTCCTCACTTGGGCTCTCCAACTGCAGCAGGAGAGTCTAAGACTAACAAACATTTTAATATTCTTAAAGTATGCATTGCTTCCTAGCAGGCTGTTCATATGCTGGACCCCCAGCTACACTTCCCTTCACAGTCCAAAGCACAGCATACCAGAACTGATTCTGGTTCATTGAAATATGCTTGTTTCCACTGTTTATGGCTCTAGAGGACTTCTTATGCCACAACCCTTCACCCCAATATCCCCAGAGAGAATGGAGATAAGCAAGCTAGACAAGCTGATTTCAATATACCTTCATAATGAAATGGAAAAAGGTATCACAGTGGAACATGGCCATAAAGAAGCCCTAAAAGCAATGCAGTTTAGAGGTACAATGTGTATATACATATATACAGGCATCCTGAAAAGTGCTGAGTTGTTCAAATTCTTTTAATGACTCATCTAAGAACCTTAAAAACTGCGTGACAAATAGAAGTTAATAATATGAATTCCTTCATATGAAAGACACTAATTTTAAGTGCACAGGACACAAATATTTACTCAGGACAGATACACTCAAGAGGCAAAATACAAAATGCAACTTTATTTTGTAAAGAATCTTTTAAATAAACGGTAACCCAAATTTTTGTAAGAGTTCAATATAATGAATTATAGACCTGAATAATACACTACAGAGATAATTTAAGAGACACAGGTAAAGGAAATAAGAGGTTTTCCTCTGTGACTTGATAACAAAGATGCAGAGATAGAGGAAAGCTGTTCCAGACAAAAGAAGCTGCTGAGGAGAAGGATTTCACAGTGACAAAACTGTATTGAGTTGCAAAAGGAGTGGTCAGATAAGTGAAGTGACCTGGAATGGAAGTAGAAAGACACAAGGCCCTGTAAGTCAGTTACAGTCAATGCAGAGATACAGGGGGGAATAGGTTTATTTACAAAAGATAAATCCAAATTTACTTGGGACCTTGGAATGAACAAGGAGCCAGTGTAACTGTTTGGGCATGGGGATGCACTTCTTTGTACTTGTGACAAAGCAGCCAGCAGCATCTGCACATGCTGGGGTCTGAAGGCCTAAGTCTTTTGGGAGAGGACAGAAAATGGAGTTGCAATAGCCAAGATGAGAGGTGATGAAGATAAACAGAAATGGTTGGATTATATCAGTACTACTTTAAAAAACCTTTCTGTAGTTGCTCTATTGTTGAATGCTGAAATCGAAAGGGAGCAAATCTGAAACAGATAAATGGAGAAAAGACAGTTACCTACCTTTCATAACTATTGTTCTTCGAGATGTGTTGCTCATGTCCATTCCAATAGGTGTGTGCGCATGCTGTGTGCACGATTGTCACAAGTTTTTCCCCTAGTGGTGGGGCCCCCTGGAGTGGTGCCTTTGTGACAGTGTATATAGGTCCCTGCCGACCCACCGCCTGCGCAGTCCCTCTTTGCTGGAACACTCTGACAGAGGGGAGGCGGGCGGGATTTGGAATGGACACGAGCAACATATCTTGAAGAACAACAGTTACAAAAGGTAGGTAACCGTCTTTTCCTTTTCGAGTGATTGCTCATGTCCATTCCAATAGGTGACTCCTAAGCAGTTTAGATGGAGGAGGGGTCGGAGTTCACCGAGTTGTTGATTGCAGTACTGCCCTGCCGAATGCCGCATTCTCCTTCGCCTGTTTAGTGATGGCATAGTGCGACGTGAAGACCACGTTGCTGTCTTGCATATGTCCTGAATGGGGACTTGTGCGAGGAACGCAGCAGAACATGTCTGCACTCTTGTGGAGTGTGCTGTCAACGCCGGGGCTGGGATCTTAGCCAGGTCATAGCACGTTCTGATGCAGGACGTGATCCACAATAAGATGTGCTGGGACGAGATGGGAAGTCCTTTCATCCTCTCGGCGATTGCAATAAAAAGCTGTGGTGACTTACAAAACAGCTTTGTGCGTTCAATATAGAAGGCTAGGGCATGTCTGACGTCCAGGGAATGGAGTGTCAGCTCTTTGTTGCTGGCAGGAGGTTTAGGAAAGAATACCAGTTGAATATGTCCTGGTTAACGTGAAACTGGGATACTATGTTGGGTAAGAACGCTGGGTGAGGGCGTAGATGCACCTTGTCAAAGACCGTGTAGTGGGGCTCGGAAGTCAGCGCTCTAAGCTCAGACCCCCTTCTGGCCAAGGTTATGGCCACCAGAAAGGCCACCTTCCAGGAAAGGTAGGATATGGGGCAGGTGGCCAGAGGCTCGAAAGGGGGACCCAAGAGTCTGGAAAGGACCAGATTAAGATCCCACTGGGGAACGGACTGCCTCACCTGGGGGTAAAGCCTATCCAAGCCCTTAAACCGGCCCACCATGGGATTGCTAAAGACTGACCTGCCTGCCACACCCGGATAGAAGGTTTAGAGGGTAGAGGCTTGCTGCGGGGAGGTACTTTTCTGTAGGGACCAAAAGGAGAAACTCTTCCAGTTTGCCAGGTACATTGTGCAAGTGGAGGGCTTCCCGTTCCACAACAGAACTTCCCTAACAGAGTCCGAGCACTGCAGTTCAAGCTGGTTCAGCCATGGAGTTTCCATGCCATGAGGCGGAGGGACTCCAGGTTGGGGTGTTGTAGTTAGCTGTGATCCTGTGTGATGAGGTCCGGGAGCATAGGAAGGGCCACTGGCCTGTTCACTGATAGGTTCAGCAGCATGGTGAATCAGTGCTGTCGGGGCCACGCTCGTGCTATGAGGATCATTGAAGCCTTGCCCTGCCGGATCATGAGGAGGACCTTGTGTATGAGAGGGAAAGGTGGGAATGCATAGAGCAGGTGGTAGGTGAAAGGCATCCGCTATGGAGCCGCGGCTCTGGTTCTGAAAGGAGCAGAACAGCTGACACTTTCTGTTGCTCCGCGTTGTAAACAGGTCCACGAGGAAATAGCCCCACCTCTGGAAGATTTAAAGGGCAATGTCCGCTCTGAGTGACCACTCGTGAGTGTTGAACAAGCGGCTGAGGTGGTCCGCTAGTTCGTTCTGTGTTCCCGGCAGATATGAGGCCTGTGGCTGGATGAAGTGTGCGACGCAGAAGCCCCACAGTCAAAGAGCTTCCTTGGCATGGGGAAAGGAGCAAAAACCACGCTGTTTGTATATACAGAATATCGCTGTGGTGTTGTCTGTCAGTACTGAGACACATTTGCCCTAAAGATGGGCCTGGAACGTCTGGCAAGCCAGGCGAACCACTCTCAGCTCCCTGATGTTGGTATGCAGTGAAAGTTCTGGTTGTGACCACATGCCTTGAGTTCTGATACTGCCCAGGTGCGCTCCCCAGCCCATCTGCGATGCATCCGTGACCAGCAACAGTGAGGGCTGAGGCGTGGCAAAGGGTACTCCCCCACGGACCACCTGAGACTGAAGCCACCAACTGAGGGACTCGAGAATCTTGGGCGGAATGGTAACCAGTCTGTCCAGACCCCTGCTGGGTCTGTATACCCTTGCCAACCAAGCCTGGAAGGGGCAAAGGCACAACCTGGCGTGCTGCACTACATACGTGAGGGCCGCCATATGCCCCAGAAGCTTCATGCAGGTTCAGTTCAGTATGGAGGTTCTGGCCTGAGTAGAGTCCAGGAGAGTCCCAATGAACTCTATCTTTTGGGTTGGAACCAGTGTAGACTTAGACCAGTAATGGGCAACCTGCGGCCCATCAGGGTAATCTGCACAGCCGGCCACAGCTCCCAGTGGGCATGGTTCGCTGTTCCTGGTCAATGGGAGCTGTGGGAAGCGATGTCCAGCACATCCCTGCGGCCCGCACCACTTCCTGCAGCTCCCATCAGCCGGGACTGGCGTATCACTGTCACTGGGAGCTGTGGGCGGCCATGCAAATGTAAACCAACTGCCTGGCGACCCACCAGCGGATTAACCTGCCGGGCCGCAGGTTCCCCCACACTGACTTAGACAGAATAAGCCCCAGCCTGCCAAAAATAGTTCGTGCCAGGGCCATATGCTCCAGCACTTGCACTCAGGAATTGCCCTGGATGAGCCAATCGTCCAGGTACGGGAAGGCCTGTACCCGGCGTTTGCGCAGGAAGGCTGCCACGGCTGCCACTTTGTGAACATGTGCGGGGCTGCTGAAAGTCCGAATGGTAGTAGGGTGAACTGATAGTGCAGGCCGCTGACTATGAATCTCAGGAATCTCCTGTGTGCCGGAATAATTGATATATGAAAGTACGTGTCCTTCAAGTCGAGGGCGGCGTATCAGTCCCCCAGATCCAGAGAAGGAAAGATGGTGGCCAGAGAGACCATAAGAAACTTCAGCTTTCTTATGAACGTGTTGAGGTTTCGCAGATCCAGGATAGGCCTGAGCCCACCGTTGGCCTTGAGGATGAGGAAATATCAGGAGTAGAGCCCCCTGCCCTTGAACTCCTGAAGAACCTCTTCTATTGCCCCCAGCATGAGGAGTGATTGCACCTCCTGTAGCAGAAGTTGCTCATGAGAGAGGTCCCTGAAGAGGGATGGGGAAGACTGGTGGGAGGGCACAGAATTGGATACAATA